AACTCCTAAGATTCTGTGATTCTGTGAAAATCTAAGCTGAATCTCCTCAATTCCCACTTAGCCAGACCTTAAGGTAAGAAAGAAGTGTTTAAAGATCTAGTAGATTTATAAAACTTGTGACTTTGTCAGTTGCTGCCTTAACTAGTCTTAAAGTTCTGCTGCATTTTCTGTCTTCTGAAACTATCTGACACGGCTCATGTTTTAAGTCATTATCAAGGCAAATACTCACACAAGGTCTGTTTGACTGATGGGATAGCTGGTACATTATTCCTTCACCACAGGAATTGCTGTGTGTGTCCATGATGCAACTCGTCAGAGTTCACCATTTTAATCTTAGTTAGCCCTTCACTACCAAGGCTCTGTTACAGAAATAAAATTCTAAGATGAACAGTGTTTTGGTAAAGGAGTCAGTGCATTTGCTGTCTATATATAAAAATGTAAGTGTTAGGGTATCAGGTTGATGCAATTTTTTGGATTCTTGCTTTTGCCAGGGCATACAGGAGAGTAAATAGTTGAAATCAGTAACAGAAGACATCTGCCTTGATGAGATTTGCACACGTCCTCCCTATGCCATGCTCCAATTAGGAGCATCAAAGGAGGGAGAGAAGCAGCAGAGATCAAAATGGAATCTGTGGTGCAGATCTTTCCAGTGCAGCGTTCTCACTCATAGAATAAACAACTGAGAGACTACAAAAACATGTCCTAGGAAACAAATTGACATGAAAGAATCCACAAAATCACTGTAGAATCTAGATGTTTAATTGGGTCAGATTCTCATACATAAATCATTTGATTGTCTTTAGATAGCTCATCCATTTACTAATCAGAATTTTGTGTATAATTGCCATGTGTAATTTACCCTGCTGGGGTAAAACAGAGAATGTTTCAAAATGTTGTGAGATTTTTTCCCTTTTAAATAAAAAATCTATCTTGGGAATATTCAACACTTTTATTCAGATACTAGTTTTGTTTACTAACATAGGAAAATGCTTCTTCCAATTCAAGCGTTTGTGGGCAGGGTATGTGGTAGCATGGCTACTTGGCTGTGATGAAATTATTAAGACAAAATCTGGAAGCATGAACAAGCTATTTTAACAAATCACTGATAATATCACTGGTATTTCTTGCTGTTGTTAACATTTTGATTAAGAAATTGAATTGTCAAATGTGAACTGCCAACAGCCAATCTCACTGCAGATTAGATGAGCATATCTGTAACGCTGAAGATTTTTATTCTAGTCTCAATTTTTTAATGTCTTTGTTAGCTTGGAACTTAGCTGTACAGTCCAGAGGCTGCCCTGAAAAGATGAGGGATTTTTTTCTACTGTCTTTCAAGGTATGTACACTTGTGGAATAGTATCTCTCATTGAGGAGCATTGCCATCTGCCTTGCTCTGTTAGAAGCTACATCCATGTATTAGGTATCTCCTTGGAGACATACTTATGTGCTCTGAAGATGGAGCAATTTTGTCAGAAGGAGATTGACTTGTAATACAACATGTAAGCATTATCATCATGCTTTACTGTTGCTTTAAAATGTCACAAGAAACTTAGACTTCAACGAGAACTTTCTAAAATAAATGGGTTCTGATATTTGCAAACTGGACCATTAGTACAGACATGTTAAGTACTCAAGTCCTAATCTCCATACAGAACTTCTACCAGCACTGACAGTTCTGTATGTTTGTAGAGAGGGGATTCCAACACAGCTTTACACATTGTATACAAATAATCTTGTGTAACTGAACAAGTAAAAATGCAATAAGTACTATTGATGACTGATTACTGAAAGTGTCATAGTGGAGACTCAGCAATCATCTCTTCATGAGCAAATTGCAGAATTCTCATGATCTTTTCCTATTTTTTGGTGTCAGTTGTCCCAGTTTTGTCCTTCTGACAAAGCTGTTCTAATTGCTCAGAAGACATGTCTGCTAATGGCAGCTGCAGTTGATCTGGAATTGGGGAGAAAACAAGTAACACCTTCTGAACAGGTAGGGCATTGCTGTTAACCGATACTGTATGTATCAGTGTAGTGTTTGGTTTATTTTCTTTTGATTTTGAAATCTTAGTTGTTTCACTCAGAACAGGATATTGAGAACGTAAGCGTGGGAACCTTTCACAGTTAATTAGAATCAGTGCACCCAATGCTATCCAGACTACTGTAAATGTTGGGTTTCTGTAAATCAGTTCTGTTGACTTCAGTGGATTTGAACAGATTTATATCAGCAAAGGGTGATGGCAGTACCTTCTCTTAAAGGAATTTCAGTCTACCTTATATATTAGGTAAGGAGTCTGCTGCTAAACATGGGTTGGTCAGGGAGATAACTACTGCATCTTTAGGATTATGCCATTGCTGACAGTAGTTACCAATATGGTGGTGATAAAGCTTACTATTTATTTATTTATTTAAAATGCATACATCCTTTTTGGGGGGTGTTGTACTTACTGTAGTAAGAAGATTAAGGAAAATGGACTGGTCATGAAGGAAGTACGGAAGTCTGCTGTACAGTGATAGTTGTAGAAGCTTGCTTTTGTGGAGAGCAACGCACAGCAATTTATGTTGTGGGATTTAGTGGTCTGTCAGCTTCATAGTTCTGTTTTATGCTTGGGAGCTAAAATAAATGATGCTTTATAGCAACCCATATGGTTCTTTATGGACCAATGGAGCACTCGGTGTGAAGAGGCTTTGTCTGAGATGTGGAGGTCTTTGAAAAAGAGAGGAAAGGACAACAAAAGCCAGTAGCTGGTGTAGATGATGTACTAATTAGGCTGATTGTTAATTTATTTTATAGTTAGGTAAAAGATCCTGTTAGTTGTGACATGTATATTCCTTTTGCTTTTAAATGACGTCTTAAATTTTTAAAAATAGATGGAGCTTTTGACTCAGGCTCTTCGACATATCCAGGCATGCAAGGAGATATGGAAAGTTCTGAAATTAACAGGTAGGGTACAAAGTGTGTCTGTTCAGCACCTGTAACTCCCAAGACTGTATTCATGAAAAATACAAGGCATGTGGAATTGTTGTCGCAGCTGAAGAGTGTTGAAGCAGATCTATGGCAATATGAGAAGAGAATTGGCAAAGCCAGCTGCTGTTTGTTGTATGTCACTGCAGACTTTTTATTGTGTAAGTGCTGTGAAGTATAGAACAATCTCTCAGAGTGAAGTTGGGTTGACTTGTTTTAAATGTTAAGAAACTCCAAGCTTTTTGCTCTAGCGTGGAGTTGCTCCTGCACTGTTTTAATGGTTTCACTAGCCTCTTCCCATATAAGGCATTTCAGAACACAGGAAGTCCTGCTACCATGCTTTGAGCCCAACCTCTGTTCCCTGCCTGTTCCATGTCAGTTCAGATCAGATATTACTGGAGACTGGCGTGCTTTCAGCTGACAGCTGAGATGCTGAGTGCCTGTTAGCCTAGAGGATGCATGCTTCACTTTTTAGTAGTTGTTGGTAGAAAAATTCCATTATGTGTTCTTTGCCTGGCCCGTGGTCCCGTTCCTTTTCAGTTACAGGTTTGGGACACTGTGGAGTTTCTGTTGTAAGATGCATTAGTATTTAATTTTTGTCAAGAAATTTACTTGCTAGGGTTATTTTTTCCCTTAAAATTTCAGAATGAAAGGTTCATTATATGGTCTGAATTTGGGATTCTCTTTGCCCTTTTGCACTGAAGGCAAGATAATTCAGGAAGACTTCTTCCCTTTTATTTTTTCCATCCTTAAAATCCCAAGGGGTTGATTATCTCAGGACAGGGACATATTGGAGTTTCTCCTGCAGAGGTTTGTGGCATGGTGCTTCCTTTACTTCTTCAGTAGACCTAGGCCAATGTCTGGACAAGTCTGTTGCTGTGGAGGAAGCTGAGAATGTCTTTTAAAATGTCTGTAAAAACAAAGGTCTTTGTGACAGTTCAGTAAAGAACTGTTTGGCGTTTGTATCAGGTTTACACCTTCCTAGCAGTTCTACTGTTCTCCTACCCCTCTTCTGTGTTTTAAGGATTTCCAGAGGGCTTTTCTACCAGAAAGGGGAAAAATCCTATAGAAAAATTTGAAGGTCGTGGCACTTAAAAGTATGAAAGACTTCTGAGTTGGTGGCCTTCTGTTATCTCTTTTAACCTGTCTATGAAAATGCCTTCCCTAGTAGCTATTACCTTGCCTAGGAGGGTTGCATGAATTCAGCCAATTACTGATGGTCCAGAATTTTTTAATTAATTCATTAATTGATTGATTTGGGGGGGAGGTGGGGGGAAGGCATGGTGGTTGGTAGGGTTTATGGTTTGGACATCTGTGGTTTCTGTCTGAGACAGCTTCAGAGTTCCACTTGCTCTGCCTTAATGGTTTTTCTGCTTGTTGGAAGCAAAATGTGTACCTTATGGTACACCATGTGGCTTTAAGGAAATGAATCATTATGTACAGGCAATTCTTTCTCTTCTGTAGGAGATTTTGCTAAAGACCCAACAGACACATTGCTGCTGCTTTATGAATTTGAAGCAAGATCTAAACTGAATGATCCAACACTCCACAGCCTGATGGAGTCAGTATGGGAGCAACCACAAATAGAGGTCAAGACGCTAGAAATCCTTGCATGTAAGGACTGCATTTGTACTTTTGTAATTCTTCAGGTCATGAAAACCAGCTTTTGTTGCTCTTTCCTGTGACCAGGATTATCGTGTATTGTGCAGCATGAGAAAATGAGTCTAACCATATATATTTTGTCCTGAAGCAAAGATGCTTAGATTCTCAGCAACATTAGGAGATCTGTATTTTGTAATACTGTATTACATGGATGATGAACCAGAAATTTGCAACATCCTTCCATTTCTAGACCTGGGGACATCTGTATAGGTTGTGAGTCTGGAGAAGATTATTCAGATAAATGTTTACAAGCTCCAAACTGACAAAGGCCAGACCGTGACCCTAGCTGATTCGTGCCCCAGTACAGAAGTTTTTGGATTTGCACTTTGGATAGATAGGCATTTTCAACTTGGTTAGTGTAGTTCCTTTGTAAATAGCACTTTTAGGCTATACCACACTTTAATCACAAACTTCTAGTCACACTTCCTTGAGAATCTAGAGTAGGATCCAGGGAAGGTGAGTAAAATTTAGAACTACCAAGGCAAATCTTCAGAGGGGATTCTGTAGGATTTAATAAACAGTTATCTCCCTTGTCAAGAGAGAGTACACGCCTGGGCTTGGAAACACCATACTGACATCCCACTCCTGCCTATTTTTTCCATCTAGATTTTCATGTTCAAGGAGATAAACAAACCAATACTTTAGACTGCCTCCTCACCCCTGCCCCTCAGTATTTCTGGGTTACTGCACCAGCAGTAAACAGCAGTGACAGTACTTGTAAATCATGAAGTCTACCGTGTTTCTGCCTTGTAGTCCTCATGGATGATGTACACAGTAAGAAAGCAGTAGAGAAGCACTAGCTTGTGACCAGCCCAGGCATTAAACAAATCTCTTTTCAGTTGTTTATCGCAAGGGATCTGGCAACATGCTGTAGTTTATTTTAGTGACCAATGAGATTAAAGTCTGGCTCCAGTAATTTTCTTCTTCTTCTCTGTTTTCTTTTGCTTTTAAGCATTAGCAATGGAATCTCCAGCTCGGTATCCTGTGCTGTGTAAGAAAGCTCTCAAGAGCGCACTAAACCTTCACAGAAAGCAGACTGTCATCGATGCTGTGAAATTTAGGTTAGTGTTATCACACAGCTTTGCTGGAAATGCTGACGGGACAAAGCCTGCAATTTTTTAAAAAGTGGATTTTAGCTTATGTGTGAGGTTCTACTTCCCGCTGGCCAACCAAAGTACCTCTCAAGTATGACTGTCTAATAGATGTGTTAACTGCCATTTGTTTACTTTGCATATTTTCTGAAACAGTCCTATTTCCAATAAATGAATCTATTGATGAAGGCACATTAAAATTGGATCCAGAAGAGGTCTCTGGCTGTTTCTTGCGAGGAAGGTGTTAATTTTAAGTGTTAACCTGCAGTAGTGAATTAGATATTTCAAAGATAATGAAGTGACGAGAAATTAAGGGCTCAGAAGAAAGCCACGAGTTGTAAGTTAGTGATATGATGCCATAGTACCTACGTGATTTATTTTGCTTGCTAACTGGCTCTGTAACAGCTGTACCTCGTGAAATCTGAAGAACAACTTGATGTGTGTCCTTCTCGCTCATTTGTAACCCATAAAGGATTTATTTCCTCCTTTCCAAGTCCCTTGCAATAACCACTGGGCAAAGGCAACTGTTGGTATTGCCTTTCTCACTTCACACTGAGAAAGACAGACCTGTTTTCAAAACCCATGTATTTATTACTGATTTTCTAACTTAGTTCTTGTTCCCTGCTGTCATGTTTAGCACCCTAGAAAATACTCTGTTTTTCATTCTATGTTACTTTAGAGACCAGCAATGAAAATATTTAAGTACCTGCTGCTCTTGGCTCTTTTTTGCATAGTTTGTATGATTGAGATCTGATACTAGGAAAACTTATCTTTCTGCTATAGGAATGTGAGTGCAGTAAGCACCAAGGTGGACACGTCTGACAGTCACAGAGACACGTTAGTGTGCTGCTGATACTAAAAAGTAGCTGTTTGTGCACATGCTATTTAATGTTTCCTCTTTTGCTCTGTTTCAATTCTCAGCAAATGCTTGCATAGTTTGATTAATCTTTTGTTGCCGACTGGATTAACAGACTTGGATGCCTGTGTGCTGCAGGAGGTGTGGTACTACTTCGAAGATGCTCTGAGCGTAGTCAGCAGCACAGTAAGTTGAACAGGAGATCAAGAGGCCTGGAGATAATCTTGAGCACATTTTTTAAAACTTCTCATCAGACTGAGAATAATTAGTAGACTGAACATGATATGGTGTTGTATGTGGAGCAGCTAAGACGACTTCAGTAAAAGATACAGTGAAATTACCTCAAAAGAAATGCCCCTTGGATATTCATGATTGAATTATAAATTTCCCTGGATTTGTGAGGGCTTTTTTAGAGATATTTAAGACCAAATTTTCAGTGCCTATTTTAGAAACGTCTTGGACAAGAACATCCATCTTTCCTTCTCTTGGTTTCTAGATTCTTACACTGAATATATATATATTTTACATGCAGATTACTTTTCCAGATCGGTTTGGATACCAATCTTGCTTTTTTCTCTGTTTTGTTAAATGTACTTAGGAACTTACTCTGTTACAATTTTTTCCAAATGACCTGAAACCTGATCTGTCAGTACTTCTGGCACCGTGTGCCTTGTTTCTGTAAGGACAGGTCTATGGAGAGTAAAATCTTTCCTTCAGTAAGCATTTCTGCTGCTCTTCTTGGTCCTGAAGAGTAATGCCATTCAGTGAAGGCAGTTGTACTGAGGAAGTTGGACATTTCTACTTACAGTTTCATAGGTAAAAACCAGGTAAAGAATATTCCTGTTCAGGACTAATGACACCAATCCTGTGTTTCATAGCTTCATTCCACTGCATGGGCGTTTGTTTAGTCAGGGCTGAACGTCCCTTCTTTTATAAAAGTGACATAAAGATACGCTGCTCCTGACTTCCCAAAAAAAGAATGTGTCCACATTTGTGCCTGCTTTTCATCAAAGTGGTCATCTATAACTGATCATGTTCTTGTTGAGGATTGTGAATGAGATGTGAATGTGGACTGATACTCATATCAGCAAAATTTCACAGCAGAAGGCCATCTTTTGCAGTCTTGCTCATGGCAGCCGGTACTAATGGCACCATGCTAAAAGGTCACTGGGGAAGCACGTTAGCAGGTAGAAAGCTGGTACACCACTCCTGATTTATATCTCCTGTTATGAAATGGATTAAATGGATGCTGCAGTTCAGATATTTACTCTGGCCCCTCTTACTTAAGATGAGAAGAATCTATGGAAGAGGGAAAATAAGTCCTTCCAGCCTCTCCTTAAGGATTTGCATGATGGATAAAGAATTGTGTGGCCTTCCCTTCCCCAACTGAGTCAGTTCCCCACCAGGTTCAAAGTATTGTTGGGTGCTCTGGCTTCTGTTCTGCAGTTGTAAGGGCAGCTTTCACTCTGGCAAGCCATTGCCACAGCACATAGAGAAATGGAAAGCATACTTTCAGTCTAGCATCGTTCCCAGTCCCACAGGACTGTATTTTCTGACCTACCAATAGGTAATTGCAACATGATTTACCCATGTTGGAAATAAGCTGTTGGACAGTAGTGCCGATGAACTGTGAAGTACAGGATGTCTCTGAAAGAACTGCCTTTTGTTTAGAAGAAAAAAAACCCCAAACAAACAAAACCCCAACTGTTTTCCTACTCTAAAACTAAACTCTAATGCACCCTTGACTTGTCAGGTTTAAAGTGAAGAGTCTGTTTTCTGATGAGCTGCTGCTTCTTGTTTGCTACTCCAGGATGCTTACCCAGAGATGGAGATCCTTTGGTTGATGACAAGAGCCTGGAATACAGGAATATTTCAGTACACCGTTAGTAAATATAAGGAAGCTGAGCGGTGGTGTGGATTAGGAATGCGTTTCCTCAATCACTTAGGATCTCTGAAGAAAAGCTATGAAGGCCATGTAAGTATAAGGAGATAGATTTGAGGATGTGGGATTGGATCTCTGGCCTTGATGTGAGATATGGATATGGGTGAAGAAACCCAGTTAAAAACCCTAGTTTGGTTAAAGGACTATGACCTTTAAAGGAGAAGCATGGTACCTAAGTGTTCTGGGGGAGCTTGGTGCTAAAAGATTTTGTCAAAGTGAGGCCAGAAAAGTTTTGATAGAGAGTGGAAAGAGTAATGTGTCCTTTTACTGGTAGGATCATGTAGATGGCTGACTAGAAATAAACTTCTGTCTGTGGCCAAGGGAGAACCCTTGCCCCTTTCCTGCTTTCACTGAAGTCAAGGTTCAGAGAAGAGCCACAAGGATGGGGAGGGCTCTGGAGAACAAGCCTTATGAGGAGCGGCTGAGGGAACAGGGCTTGTTTAGCCTGGAGAAGAGAAGGCTGAGGGGAGACCTCATCACCACCTACAACTGCCTCAAGGGAGGTTGTGGAGAGGTGGGTGCTGGTCTCTTCTCCCAGGTGATGGGGGATAGAACAAGGGGAAACGGCACCAAGCTGTGCCAAGGGAGGTTCAGGTTAGAGATAAGGAGGAAGTTCTTTACTGAGAGGGTCGTCAGAAGCTGGAACAGGCTGCCCAGGGAGGTGGTGGAGTCACCATCCCTGGATGTGTTTAAAGAGCGGGTAGATGAGGTACTTAAGGATATGGTTTAGGGGGTAGACAGGAGCGGTTGGACGTGATGATCTCAGAGGGCTTTTCCAACCGAGCGATTCTGTGATTCTGTGAAGGTGCTGTACCATTTTACTTAAATCAGCTGCTGTATGAATACTTTGAAGCTTGTTTTCCAGTATAATCGAATGTCTTATAAATAGGGTTTAAGCTGATGTGAGTAAAATCATTGAAGCTCATCTTTTCAGGTGTAGCTTTGCCACTTCCTGTGAGAGAGAAATTTCAGGGCAATGACGCTTTTTCTTACTCTGTCACAAGTAAGCACCTCTGCAGGTTTTGGCGGGTGCTCCTACCTTGATCGCAGCGCGGCGCAGCCTTGCTGGTGTGTGCAGTTGTCGTTCATTCTCCTATGCACGAGCTGGGCAATCAAGAGCTGGTTGCAACTTCTATACCATTTCAAGTTACATCAGTGAAGACAATAAGAATTGAGATCACTCCCTTCCAACCTCAACCATTCTGTGATTTTGTGAATTGGTTTATTCACTGATGTGAGACTCAGCTTTGAACTCCGCTTTATGTCAGTATAAATAAAACCACCTTTGTTAGGTTACACTGATTCAACTTCTTTTTAAAACCACCGTGCCAAAATCTTTACATCGCTCTGAAATTTTAGGTTTAGAAGCTGGTGGTAGTCTCCCACCTATTCCCTTGCTTCTGCTCCCTGTCACTTTGTGGTATGATCTAATTGAATGGTACAAGAGTGATTGAATTATACAGCTTTATCCATCCTTGTTGACAACTGTGGTCCTTGTGTTCTCCAGATGATTGGTGTTTATAGTGAGGTGCTGGACAAATTGGACAGAGTAAAAGACTTTCTTCCAAATGAAGAAGAATAGTGATGCCCACAACTGAAGATAAAGGAGGACAGCAGTCTCCCTTGGAAATGCTCTGCTGAATGAAAGAGGCCGTTACCTCTGCGAAGGCATGGGGTCATGGGAGCAGTGGAAAAGAAACCAGGATCTCCTTTGTGTTGGCAATTAAGTTAATGTACTTTTTAGGAAGTGTTTATTGAATAAATGTAATTGTTTTCCTCTAGGGAATAATTTTCATTCTCTGAAGCTATAAATTCTATATAAATTTCTGGAGTTAGAAGTAAAAACTTTCTCATTAGATGTGTCTGCTGTTGTGTAACAAGTTGGTTTAGATACCTGATTTTAGTACTAAGTGGCGATGAGAACAGAAGTATTCCAAGACCAGGCACCTCCTCTGGCTGCTTTGCTGCATAAATATTTATCAGATTGTTTAGTTTTCAGTCCATTTCAGCGTGGACAAGAATTCAGAGCTGTTTGCCAGTTTCACGATTTAGTTAGGATAAAGAAGAGCAGGTACTATGTAGCTCACAGAAAGTGCTAAAGCTTGGATGAGGCACTGCTGTTTACAGGCACTCCTCTTGTTTGAAATGACTGAATTTTGGTCCAGGCAGATGTTCAGCAAGCAGGCCAAATTAAAGTTAATCCCATTGTGTGAGGAGGCTACCAGTGAGAACTCGGCACCAAGCCCCAAGAAAATGGTTTGGCTGGAGACTCTGCTGATAAGCGGCCGAAACGCAGCAGAAAACCTGACTACAAACCAACCACTTCAGGCTGTAAATATCTGCTCTGTGGCAGTGATCTCCCTTAAGCAGGGCTTCTCAGTGTCACCCCTTGAGCCTGAGAGGTCCCGTGCCTGACACAGGCATTGATGGGCTGTAAGAGACAGTTTTCACATGCATGTAACATTTAAGATATTTATAGTAAGCTTAAGTGATAATCTGTATCCTGTACTAACTCTAAGTTTAGTAAAAAGTACTGACCACCAGTCCATCTGTACTTACTAAACATTTTGCATACCTAAATTTACTGATTAGAACTCAATAAACTAACGAGTAGATCACTGAGTGATCTCTGACTCTTCTGCAGCGACTGCTAACAGCAACACACGAGCCACAGCTCAGCATGAAATCCTCCCAAAGCCACATGAAAACACAGGCTGGTAAATGCACGGATCTCACTGCAGCTGGATTGAAGAGGTCTCTCCTGCCTGAAGTTCAGTGTGGGGTTCCAAAACATAATTAGCTCTGTACAACTGTGGCTGTTTCACTGGCAGGTTCAGAAGTCAGCAAAAAAATGCCCTGAGTGTTGTTTTCTCTACTGTAGAACAGATGTGCTCCGTGACATCTCTTGGTGTCCTGACTCCAGGGGACAGGTTGTGGTTGCATTCTGCCTGCGTATGAGCTCAAGGCCGTGCAACTTCCAATGTGCCCAGCCCTTGTCTGGAAGGAAACAAAGGTGACTGGGGTGGGTGGGAGCAACAGTGCGCTCCAATAAAGCCCTTTGAGTGCTTGAGGGACCAGTACTGTGGGTTCTAGCAGAACCTTAGTCTAGGAGATTTTTACTTTATTTTATTTTAAGCGGTGCTTGAACAAAAAAGCACAGATCCAAGCTAGCAGTTGCCTGCTTAGATGTCATAGCTGGTAGATCTGTACTGATTGCTCTTCAGTGAGGGCTGCTGCACCACAAGACAGGTCAAGGTAAAGTTGGTATATTGTGTCATTTTGTGTGACAGACCAGGCATACATGCTATAAGTGCATTCTTTCTCTGTTTCTTTAACATTCAAGCGCCCTGAGGAACACTAGCAGTCATTTCAGATCCTCAGGTTTGCTTACTAGAGACCTGAAAGTGCTTTGCTGCTTGTTCTTCACGAACGTTACACGGAAGGCAGGGCTGATAGACAGCAGTACCTTTCAGCTATGAGATCATCTGGTTTAAGATGAAGACATTTCATATTGGTTTTAAAATTTAAAAAGACATTTTACTTAGAACCAGAAGCCTATTTAGACAGGGGCCAGGGCCACTGACTGCAGGATGGTGGCTACAGAAAAGAAGACGTTCACACAGGATCACAGAACGTCAGGGATTGGAAGGGACCTCAAAAGCTCATCCAGTCCAATCCCCCTGCCGGAGCAGGAACACCCAGATGAGGTTACACAGGAAGGCGTCCAGGCGGGTTTTGAATGTCTGCAGAGAAGGAGACTCCACAACCTCTCTGGGCAGCCTGGGCCAGGGCTCTGTCACCCTCACTGAGAAGAAGTTTCTTCTCCAATTGAAGTGGAACCTCCTGTGTTCCAGTTTGTGTCCGTTACCCCTTGTCTTATCATTGTTTGTCACCGAGAAGAGCCTGGCTCCATCCTCGTGACACTCACCCTTTATATATTTATAACCATGAATGAGGTCTCCCCTCAGTCTCCTCTTCTGCAAACTAAAGAGCCCCAGCTCCCTCAGCCGCTCCTCATCAGGGAGATGCTCCATTGCGTTGGTTGTAGTCCTTTCTGAAAGCCCAAAGTGCTCTGGAGGAAGAGCTTAGCAGTGTGCTTAGAGCAGTGGTCAGGGCCAAGAAGTAGTTAAAAAAGCCAGCTGTATTGCATTCTCTATCAATGCTCCATGTCTGTCTTCTTTTCATAGTCTGAATAAACCAAATATTAGTGACTTCTGGTTTTGGGTTGGTTGTTTTTTTGGTGTATGTACCAGGTACCACTCTGCACTCTATGGCTGAAGCTGGAAACCAGCTGCTGGTGTAGCTGTCCCAGCCTGTGCCTGTTGTGCATCCTGAAGGCACCCACAGCACCGTCACATAGTCACATACTGTACCCCATGCTTTGTAGTACCACACTTGGTGTCAGCTTCTGGATAGCAGTGCAAGAACAAGGCTCCCTGAAGGAGTGAATCTTACTGAGGGTGGCAACAAGGGAAGTATTGCGAAGTTGACAGGATCTGGTGTCTGTGACAGCGAGATCCTGGGTGCTGTGGCCATGGCTGGTGCTGCTGGAGCTGTGCCCCTGCTGTGAAGCGTCCTGTGGAGTGTCCTGTTGCTCTGCAGGCTCAGCTACGTTGATCTGTGTGTTGGTAGGACCAGGAAGGTACCTTTGTGGAAATGGGCAAGCAGGATGCAAAGACAAAAGTAGAAATAATTCTGTTCAGCTGGAGGTTACGTACATGTTCTTATTCCTGAGCTCTACCACAGGGCCTTTACAGGCTGAGGCAGAACAAGCAGTGGGAGCCGCTGCTGCTGTCAGTGGCACCCAGAGAAACCACCCGGTTTCTGAGATTCTTCAAGGAAGAAGAATCTGAGGATTCTTCAAGGAAAGAGACACCTTTAGCTCAGTAACATTGCCTGCTTCACAGCAGATGCCTTAGTGCCACGAATCCTGCTGTGACAGCTTGAGGACAGCAGAGGACAGCAGGCCTTGGAGGCTGGGCTGTCAAGCGTCATTAGCAAGACACGCTGTGGCTAAGACAGCTCTTCAGGTGCCACTGGGGAGAAAAAAACTTGAGAAAACTATTATTAAATTCCTTTAAAACTGCTCTTCCAGTAGCCTCCCAGATTTTTGTGCTCCTCTACTTAATGAGGGCCAAGTCAGTTAAATAACCTGAGCTACAGCCAGAAGCACAGACCTGCCTCTCTATGGCACAAGCAGCTTATGGCCTGATTTTCTAGCAGTGTCTTAGGGCAGATTAGTGGCATGCCCATTGCGGGCAGCTGTAGCAGGACATCTTAGGAGAGAAGAGAACCACGCTACCACCACTGCACAAAGAGACAGGAGCATCAACAGGACAACACTCTGCTATTGTATGTACCTAAGGTCCTGGCACACAGAGCAATTTGTCCCTAGCCAGAAAAAAGAGCTCATTAAAAAGCTTCAAAAGAGGAAGCTGTTCTTTCCCTTCATGCCAACTGCGCTCTCTTAGCAAGTGGGTTCCTCTTCCAGTGGTTGTCTCCGCCCTGAAGAAGTGGCCTGATTTGTTTGAGAACATAACCCCGCATCTCCCTCCCCGCTGGAACCCTAACGGGGCACTGCTGGAGCTGACACATCTGCTCAGGACACATCACGGAGCGTCTGCACGTCCACACACTCAGTTACTGAGCCCGGTGCTGCCCACTGGACAGAGAAGCCTGGCAGCTGCCGTGGCAGCGGTTCCTGGGCTGCTTTACATCAACCTCAGTCCAAACCCATCACTGGGGAGGGAAACAAGTTGATTTTTGGAAGTGGTAGTGCCAGCATCGCATCTGCTTTGCAACTGTTTAACCTTCCAGTGCTTTGCAGACCACCACCACCACAAGATTGTTGCTCTGATCAGATAAAAGAGTTTATAAACTGTGATTTATTTCTCCAATGAGCTTCATGAACTGTGAACTCTCTGCAAACTGCGTGCCCATGCTTCATCCAACGCCCCTGTTCCCCTGAAATCTCACTTGACTTCTGGCGTGCAGTCTGAAAGGAAAAAACAACATTCCAGCTTTAAAACTCGAAAACTCTCTCACCTTTCAATTAGCTCAGCTGAATGACCACGCAGACTGGGGCAGGAATGTGTAATGATTAACCACACGTGTCTCTCGGGGAACACTCCTGTTCTCTGCACTTAAAGGCACCACTTGTCTTTGCAACCTCCCTCTCTCTGATGTCTAAACAGCACAGTAAACTGTAAAATGATGCTCTCTATTAGCTGGACTATGTATTTACTTTGCTGTCTTTACATCAAATACAAGAACAATTATGTAGCAGCACATGAACCCTGTTATTGGAGCTGCATTTGTAAAGCAAGCGCTCTACACTTGAAGCAATGACCCAACAGACATTCACGGTGTCAAGTCATCGGACCAGATGCCACCTGTGTTACAACTCCTCAAGCAAAAGAGCTTTTCAGTGGCCTGGTTACAGCTGTAAATAAGTCCACTTCCTCTTCCTTTTCTTATTTTTTTTTTTTAATTTGCTTTTTCTTTTAGGCAAGTTCTCAGTGACCACCTTATACTAAAAAAAAAAACCCAGATTTTTAAACCACCGTCAACTCCTCAGTTTGC